ACCTGAAAGAAACCACATGTCTCTGAAGCACATCTAATTTTGTCAACTATCTCCTTGTGTAGCAGTGGATCCTTGTCAATCCCTTCAAGATTTACGATAGGAATACTGAGTTGGATTTCTCCGGTATCTGATGCATCTTCTGACTTGTGATCAGGTGGCTTAATGAATATCCGGGGAACTTCGGTAACACCGGAATCAACAAGTCCTTTGACACCCGCCTTGGTGTCATCAAAAGCTCTCAATTCTGCTACTCGGTCATAACCAGAATTATCATCAGAGACTTCAGTAGCATCAGCCACCACCATTTTTGTTTACTCTGAAGTACGAACAGTCCTGCACAATCTACAGAATTTATGATGTGGACAAAAGGCTAGGAGAAGACATCTAGGGGACACCGGACAAGAAGCCTCGTGAAGGTAGTTGCACCTTATCTTTTTCTGAGTGGCTAGAAATAAACTACGCCTTCCTTCCAAGTGACATGCCTAAAAGAGGCACGGACAAAGAAATAAGTGACATGCCTAAAAGAGGCACAGACAAAGAAACAAGGAAAAAGTATTATCCATTAAGTATAGCTATTAGATAGGGGTGAGCCGTGATATTAAAGTTTTATTTTTATTTCATGATTTTTATTTTACAATTGGATTAAATTTAAATAGTAAAACAGGATACTGAAGAAATAAACCATCAATGCTCTGTTAACCACAAGAGACATCCCTTCTTAATAATTCAAGGAGGACCAAAAATGGTTTTGTTTAGGGCCACTCAAGTTAATCCAATGGACCATTTTAGTAGACCTCAACAGAGTCTGAAAAGTCCTGTCTTTGTTAATTTTAATTTTTCTGGTACATTAGCAAGTTTGATGAGCATTCATATTTCCTGGAGAAAAAAAGAGGTACAAGCAATCAAGATAACTGATAAATGGTCAATTAATTCAAAATTAATGACAATAAATCAATAAGCTTAGGCACGGGAATTTGGTACATAAGTTTGTAACAAAGCTAGTTAGGCCAGTTGTGTAGTTAGACAAGAAAGAAGTCCTATCATTAATAGTAATAATAATCATCTTCTATAGCTGGAAGATGTTGTGAAGGAATAGATTGATGCAGTTTTTGCTATTTTGTTTTGGGAGAGTGTATTCTTTGTAGCAGCTAATTTGTTGCTTACTGCACAATCAGTTTATGGATAATAAATTCACATTTTATCCAAAATTTAAAAAAAAATTAAAAAAAAAAAAGGAAGACTTCTATACGGCTTTTGCATGATCAACAGACAGTAAATCCATGATGCACAAACATCAGTTGCTCCAACATAAACCACAGATTCATTTGAGCAAATGGACTGACAAGTTAAAAATGACCAGGAACTCTAATTTTGCGACTTCGCTTCACAGCTTGAAATGTGATAGAGAGGAGGTTCCGTCTAGGCCTCTAGGCCTTTTGAGTAGTAGAGTGGCAAATACTCTTTTACAGAAATCTCCTTGTAAATTGGAGGGTTTTCATCTGATAACAATTCCTTGATTGGTCCATAGAGTCTTGAGGCATTTTCTGTAAGTTGCTTGAAAAACAAACCATAGAAATTCTAGGACCAGCTTGTTTGGTCAATACTATGTGATTAGCACTTTTAAACTTGTCATTTGAAATAAGCTGCAAAAGAGGAAAAAAAAAATCTATACAAGGAGAAAGTTGTTTTCTGTTAATGGGTTTCTGTGACAAAAAACAATTGGTCATTTTAAGCATTATTAAAAGTTAAGTCCTTAATAACCATCAAAGAAGAAAAGATTATCCTTAAAATGATATTTTTGTGGCAAAAGAAGAGAACTTGCCTGTAGAAGATCTCCAATACTTATTATCAAAGCTTCAGGTATGGGAGCAATATCAACCCATTGATCCTCATAGAGAACTTGCAGGCCACCAATTTGGTCTCGGAGAAGTATGATGATAAAGCTACTATCTGTGTGCTTGCTGGTTCCCATGGTTAATTCTGGTTCTGGGCATGGAGGATAATAATGGCCCACCAGTGAAGAAAATGAAGAATAAAACTGAATGAGAATACTGAAGCTGTATTAGTGATAATTTTTTGTACAAGACTTGTGTGTATAAATATAGCTACAGAAGCATAATTACATGAATACATTTAGATCCTAGAATTTTGCCTAAGGTCATGGAAATGATCGTTGCACCAATTCTTCCTTGTACTGTGCTTTGGTTTTTAATTGCCTGAGATACTTTCCCTTTTTCTTTTACTAGTTGTTTCCTTTGTTGGCTAAGATCTTGATTCTTTGCTTTTTAATCTTGTATTTGATTCAACTTCCTTCACACTCCCCCTCAAACTGGATTGGGGAGAAACCACCAAGCCCAGTTTGAACCATAAGAACTGAAACTGAGTGCGAGGTAAGGGCTTGGTAAAGATATCTGCAATCTGATCTATGCTTGGAACGTACCTCGTCACAAGAGAACCAAGTGCTACCTTTTCTCAAACAAAATGATAATCTAATTCAATATGCTTTGTTCGAGCGTGGAACACAAGGTTAATGGACATGTATAGAGCACTAATATTATCTAAGAACACTTGAGAAGGATTTAGGAGTGAAATGCCAGTATCATAGAGAAAATGCCAGTATCATAGAGAAAATGCCAGTATCACAGAGAAGATAAGTGATCCACACAAGTTCAATTGTAGTAGATGCTAGCGCTCTATACTTTGCTTCTGTAGTGGAGCGAGCTATAGTGGATTGTTTCTTTGAAGACCAAGAAATACAATTTGCTCCAAGATATATGCAAAATCCTATAGTACTTCTTCTCGTTATGGTGCATCTTGCCCAATCTGCATCACAAAACCTAGTGAGAGATAGTGTACTAGAGGAGTAGAAGCTAAGGCCATGGCATAAAGTCCCTTTGATATAGCATAAGATGCGTTTAACTTGACGAAGGTGAGCAAAGGTAGGTTGTTGCATAAATTGACAGACTTTGTTAACTGCAAAACATAGGTCAACTCTGGTGATGGTTAAGTACTATAGAGCACCCACAATTTTCCTATATTCTTGAGCATCAATAGGTTCCTCATCTCTTGGTATATGTGGTTCTTTGACTGCCATTGGTGTCGCAATCATGGAGGCTTCAAGCATCGTTGCTCTAGTAAGAATATCCTTAGCATATTTGGCTTGAGACAAGAATATGCCACCAAGGAACAAGGTAATCTCAATACCTAGGAAATAGCTTAGAAAGCCTAGATCCTTGAGAGCAAACTTACTGTTAAGATTTTCAATGATATGTTGCAGTAGAGATGAAGAGCTTGTAATAAGTACAATGTCATCCACATATAAGAGAAGCAAAGTCGTATCTTGTCCATTATGAAAAACAAATAGAAAAGAGTCTGCCTGACTGCAATGGAATCCCAGCTTTAATAGATGAAGAGTGAAGGTATCGAACCATGCCCTAAGGGGTTGTTTAAGACCATAGATGGATTTATTGAGTTTGTAGACATAACCCGGATGATTAGGATCTACAAATCCTGGTGGCTATTTCATATACCACTTCTCTAGGCTAGCCATGAAGAAATGCATTCGTCACATCTAGCTGTCTTAGTGGCCATGATAGGGTTGTAGCTAAGGCAATTACTAACCATAGGATGGTGGGTTTGAGCACTGGACTGAATGTCTCTTCAAATTCTACCCCTGGTACTTGTGAAAATCCTCTTGCCACTAAGCGTGCCTTACACCTGTCCACGCTTACATCTGGATTTAACTTTGTTTTGAATACCCATTTAGATCCCACAATGTTTGTGTTAGCTAAGGGGGGAGGCACTACAGTCCATGTATTGTTCTTGTAGAAGGCATCCAGTTCTTCTTGCATTGCTCTTAGCCACTGTGGGAGTTGTAACACTTTCTTGATGGTTGTCAACTCTCGAATGTCCATACCTGCATTATTCAAATAAGAATTATTATTAATGACCATAGTGTTTGCATGTTTTGGAAAGAAAGTCTTAACATGGCCAGTATGTGTCCTTGTACGAGTTCTTGTCATCATAGGGTGAGTAGATGTTGAAGTTGCACTGTGAGATAGTGGTGACACTCTTCTTGAGCAACTTGTACTGTTATAGGTTCCTGTGAAGATTTAGCAGAATATGGTTCTTCTTGAGCAACTTGTACCAGACTTGGATTGATCCCAATAGTAGATAAAGGATTAATTGAGCTTGAGGGAGAGTCCTGGTTGTTGGGTCCCAAAGTGCTTTGAGCTGAGATGTTGTCTCTCTCAAATTCTTGATTTTCATCTCCTTCGAGCTCTATATCTTCATTATTTTCTTCATTATTATCTTCTGTTTCTTCTTCTCTCATGCTTTCTGTAACCATGGTCTGTTGCTTAGTAGGTGGAGTCATAGATACATGATCATCCAGCTTTCGTGAGGGTTGTAAATGGGATGAAGCTTGTGACCACTCGTCATAGTCTGGATACTTGCAAAGCTCACCATTTGTACTAGTATTTCCTAAAATTCTTATTAGATCAGTATATGGAAGAAAAGACTCATCAAACACTACATGCCTTGATATATATACTCATTGTGTAGAGGGATGCAAACATTTGTATCCC